TGTTTAAACTAGCTTTTGAATTATAATTTATATATATTTTACAGCGCTTAGAGCCGACTTGTATAGGCGCTATATAAATCATATTATATTATTATTATTATATATTATGGAAGTCGAGGCCTTGTTGGCGATTTATGAAGACGAGTTGAGAATAATACCAGATGAGAAAGRTGAGAAAACAGTGTCTTTTGAGACTGAATTGAAGGATATCGGTGCTGTATTAACTATAATTGTTTCAGGTAGGCGTAATAACTTGTCGTCGCTCATATTATCTAAACTAAAGTACGTTACAAGTAACACTTTTTTCGTCTGTCGTGCTGTAAGCTTGAACATTTGGGGGGGGGGGGGTAGATAACACAAGGGCTCACTATAACTACTAACGTGTTGCTACACTATAAGCGTTTTACTTTTAAGTTCAAAAAAAATACTATTATTTTTATTTTATACTTAAAAGATGAATATCCAAAGTGTGCCCCAAGAATAAGTGTCCAAAAATGTGGAAAGAACTTAGTTGAGGTAGAAAATTTCTTGAAGATAACGTCAAAGAATCTTTGTGGAGAAGTAATGGTTCACAGTCTTATAGAAGAGGCAAACAAATGGACAAGAGAGATGAAGTTGCAGGAGCGAGACCTAAATAAGGAAGAAACTGCTGCGTCTGTTTGCAAGTTTTTCCTTGAAGGGAGATGCCGATTTGGTGACAGATGCATTAACAGTCATCAACTTGCTAGAAAAAAAACAGATGAAGAAACTCCTGAATGTGAGAACAAGAACCAGGAGAGACTTGTAAGGGAAAGTGAAAATAACAAATTGAGCAAAAATGTAATCAACTCAGGCAATGATAGGGAGGAAAGACCAACGAAGAAGGCACCAATGAAAACTGCAACAGATGTTATTTCAAGAATCTTGTGGGACGACAAACTTGACCCTAAGGATTTTACTATCGGATATCTTGATAGATTCATTGGAATTATGGAGAGGGAATTTACTGACTTCAGCTGGGAAGATATTGCCTCTGTGGACTATGACGTACTCTCCATTCCCAAACACAGGATACAGTACTTTAAATACAATGGAGATATAGTATGGGACAAACGTGAGAGGATTGACAAAATCTTTGGGTCTACAGGGAGTGGTTGTACTATACTAGAAGTATTGGAAAATGGAAATAAAGGAGAGGAAAGGGAAGAGGGATCTGAAGAAAGGAAGGAAAATGAAAATGAAGATAAAGATGAGAATATAGCTTGTGAATCTGTGATAACTTCATCTAGTACAAGAAATGACAGTGGTCCAAACTACTTCATTGCATTCAAAGTACAAGATCCAGGAGTATTGGAAAACGTAGAAGAGGTATGTGTTTAACATGATATTTTTTGTGAGTTTTAGAAATACTTATTGTTGATGAAACTATGTTTACCATATTTTTTTATAATCAAATCTTCAAATTTTATTGAAACTCCTGAAACACCTTCTGGGCTGATAAAAGTCAGGGCATATCTAACTGATGATCAAATCCGAACTTAGTGGGTTAGGTTTTCCTGAGGGAGGAAAACCAGAGAACCTGGAGAAAACCCTTGAGACCTAACTAACAATGTTAATACTGTTTCAAGACGTGTTCGTGTTGGTGGGGAAATAGTTATGCSTCTTTAATCAAACAATCACTTCTCTAAGTATCTAATTACAACTGCGTAAGCTAATATTGTAACAAATACTACCACATTAAATACATAAGTGCACTAACTAAATTAATGCTAATTAAAATATGGGATTTTCTTGGTACATGAAGAGGCTTTTAGCTGATTTTTAGCTAATTTCTGTTTCTTGAAAGACAGAGAAATAATATTCTCAACACACAGTAGTTCTAATTCGTATTTCACTTTTAGTTACATAAGGAATTTTTACTAAGAGAAAAAGGCATGAGTGAAGGGATTGTGTCACCGCAGAATTTATACGTTACACTTCTAGTGCTGACCATTCGAAATGACGACCAACTGAACCTCGTTAAAGACGCCTTAAAAGGTCTCCATCACGTCCTGCCTTCGATTCTTCCTCTGTCTAGGAAGCTGAAATTCAAAGGTATTGGTTCCTTCAATGACCGCGTTTTGTACCTAAGAGTTGAGAAGGAACCAAGTTTTGAAAAGTTTGTCGATATTTTGAGGCGTCAGCTTCGTAACGTCGGGGCTAATTTAGACGGGAACAGAGAAACCTTTTCACCACATATGACCGTTGTAAGGGCACCAGCTACTTCAAAAATGTCACGCGCAACAAGTCGAGAAGCATTTTCATCCTTCGAGTCTGCATACAATGATGTAGAGTTTGGAAATCAAGGCATCAGTGAAATTGGGTTATTTTCGCGGTTTGATCCAAAGGAATCGGATGGTTTTCACAAGACAGTTTTGACAATAAAAAACTCYCTTCTCTCTGTGTTGCCTACACTTGAGAAGAAGATCGTGAAGTATGTGGAAGATTTGTACGATTCTGAAAAGATTAGCGTTGAATTAAAACAGAAGGTGAACGCCTGTGTTGAATCTAAAGTCCCTATAGAGATCGACGAAGTATTTTCAGCTCTAGAAGCAGCTGTTTCTAAAGATCCGAGGAAGTTAGTCGTAATTCTACGCGGAATTCCTGGATCGGGGAAAACCTATCTCGTGGAAAACTGTTCCGAAAATAACACGCTACCATATTTAACCATCTGTAGTCCGAAGCAGTTGTTTTACAGAGCCGGAAATTCTAAAATGAATCAGTCTGAGCTGAACATCGCGGAAGCCTACTGCAGGAACGGGTTTCTTGAGGCCTTGAACAGCTCAGCTTCCCTGGTTGTCGTTGATGATTGTCATGCGCAGACATGGCAGTACGCTTTTTACATCAAACTGGCCTGCTTGTTTGGATTTACAGTGCGCGTTCTTGAGATTCATGTCAGTGATCGTGATGGTATCTTGGAATGTCTCAAGCATGGAGGATCTGAATCAAGTATGAATGAAGTGCTGGAGATGGTTCGTTACTGGGAAGAGGATCCCAGATCACTGCTTATAAAGCCTTGGTTTAGAAACCCTAGCTTACAAGATAGTGTAGCGCTGAGAAATCTAATAGAATCTTCTCAATAACTAGACTATTAAAATTTTTACTTAAGTTTACTTGCAGGGCTTGAACTTAAAGTGCTTATACCACAAAATTCAGTAAAATATCCTGTATAAAACATCATTGTCTTACTCAGGGTTTATAGAAAGTTTATTGCAAATTTGTTTTCTCATAATAATAAGTGTTTCAATTTACAAATCATGACAAATTTAAACACAAATTCCTATAATGACACCAACATTCTTAACATATCAAAAGTATGAACCTCAATATCTTCAAGATGCATCACTCAAATCATATAATGAAGAAATAGAAAACGCGCGCGCGTGCTGTGTGCGGTCATAAAGCACGCGGGGGTTGGCAGAACACCAGAGAAGTGTTAGGAGAAGCACGACGAGTAGTAAGAAAACGAGATTTCTTTGCAAACTTATTATTGGTGTTGGGCGCAAAGAGCGAGGCGCTAAAGTCTATGCGACTCCAAAATCTATTTAATAGCATGCTCAAGTAATGTAGATATTTCGATTATCTAGTGTAATTTTTCACCTAATAATTAAGTATWTAGATTTTTACTTGACAGGACAATGTCGATGTAAGGGTGCAAATAAAAGGCTTTTAAGTTAACCATTGCAGGTGCGTGCACAGCCAACTTGCCACCTTTTAAGGTACCATTTTTGATCACTTTTTCTTATTATCTAATAAATGATTAAATTTAAATCACCGAAATACAGGGTATCTCTTAATGTTGATTAATGATTATGTTAAGGAATATTTTAGAGTTTCTTCCTCCCTTCCTTCCATCCTCCCTTCCTTCCATCCTTCCTTCCTTCCTTCCTTYCTTYCTTCCTTYCTTCTTTCGTTGCTGTCGCTTCTCGCTTTTTTCTAATTATATTTTGTCTTTGGTATTTTGTTTGCCTAACCATTAAGACTAAGAACGACTTTTACGACCATTTTGTGGTCTTCATTTGTAACTACTTTGTAACTGGTGAACCACCTAATGTTTTATTCAAGACCGGTCTCTTTAAACTATATAAGAAAGAAAACATCTCGTAATAAATATTYAGTATTTCAAAAAGAAACTTTGTTAACGTCGCGGAGTCCTTAACTGAATGATTCCACATGAATTTATCATTTAATAATTATAATTAATCTGAGTAATGTAAGAAAAAGCTGTGTAAGGAAATTCATGAAGTATTATCAAAGTCTTGGCCTGGTAAATATGCTGTGAAGATTCAGAGGCACTCAGTTTAAAGCACAAGTCCATTCGTTCAAGACGAGCGAGTAGTTCTACTCCACACTTCTTGGAAGACTTAGCCCTCGTCTGGCTGCTAAGCTGATGGAAATACGCTGCTTAACAGAAATAAAGTGCACTATTTGATAGCAAGGTTAGTTTCTGCTTTTCATATAAAAAATACTTTGTCCAAAGTCACTTCAATAATCACTAAATTAAGCAATTGTTCCAATTGTTGTTGGAGATTTTAAGTTGCTGTTTTGTATTTTTACTGTCTAAGCCAACTTATCATCACATTCATTGTTTTGTGTTCGGTAACTGATTGTGAAGGTTTTCTAATTTTTGGTATTGTTGTCATCGTTTGTTATTTATTTTGTAAGTCAACCTATACCATACCACAATAATTTTTCTGGTCGTTGACTGACTGTCGGGATTTTATATTCTTTGGTGTTGTCGGGGGGGGACTCCCTTATGAAAGGGGGCGGGGATCCTCGTTCCTTTTAGGGTTTGAAATCAGGGTTTTGGTCCCGCTTAGGGCGATAACGACGGGAATGCGCAGAGTATAAGATCTACAAAAAGGCAAGCGATTTGTATATGATGATGTCGTCATAAATTCGTTAGAGCAGACGGCGTTTGATGCAAATAAAATCGAGAAACCAAAGTAAAAAATGCGTTATTGATTGGTCCCTCTTAGGGGTGAAATTTCATCACTGTCACGCCCATCATCCCAAAATACAGGTCCCTTTTAGGGGTCATTTTCGGAATTTCCGACGAGGATCCCCGCCCCCTTTTATAAGGGAATCCCACCCCCCGGGGGGTGTTGTTGGAATTGTTTTTCATTTCATTTCGTAAGTCAACCTACCATGCCACAATAATTGTTCTGGTCGTTGACCTACTGTCGGGATCAGTTTTATATTCTTTGGTGTTATTTTGTAAGTCGGCTTATCATGCCACAAT